ACGTGCAATGTGACCTCAGGTAACCCGCAATGGAACACGTGTTCCATGGATGGAACCGGCCATTCTTTAGATAGAACATGGAACGGGTACAGCACTTTTGGCCCTTTTTTTGCTGAAAATAGCCATTAAAGTCCTCCAAATGAGTCATTTGGAAGTGGTGTATGCCAAATATGTGACTGCTATTCTGTAGACACATGTTCAAGGTACCCTTATACCGAATTTCAGATCATTTGGTTGTAAAACCAGGGCTCAGGATCCAAAAATCCATTTTTTGGCGAAAAATGCCCCAAAAAACCTTCATAAAAATTTTTCAAAGGCATGTATCAAAAAAATGAAAAAAAAAACGCCTGGGGGTATTGGCCCACTCTACCTCCATGCCAAATTTCAAGTCATTTGGCTGAATGATGGCGGAGTTGAATCCCTTTGACTGTTTGGCAGGAGGAGGAGAAGGAGAAGGAGGAGAAGAAGAAACACCAGAGAACACAATATATTTCATCCATACCATGGTATGGACTGAAATATAAATATACATACAAAAATATGGACATGTAATAAATCAAATATCATACTACATAAATGTCAGCGCGGTCTTAACGCTATGCATGTTCCACACCTGCAAGCCGTAGACCATGTACGTATGTTGTCTGTGTCAAAGTTGTCCTGGAACTTGCCGATTACTGACTGGACAAGACACCGTCTGAATTGCAAAATGTTAGACCCCGTTAGGGCTAATCTTCCAGGGCTCATTACACATTACACACACAGTACAAATATACACATATGACTACAAATTTACATACACGTTGAGGTCACACGTCAGACAAGGTACTAATTATAGCTAAAATCATTGAACGAGCAAATTATCAACTAAGTATAAAACTAATATTACCATTACTAAAAGATTTCAATATAACAACTATCATCATAATTAAAACCATTAAGTTGCATACATATACAATTGATCGATCAATCTCTTCAACCGCCTCTCATCGGATACAGCCTTAACCTCATTTGGTAGTGCATTCCACAGCTTTACACATCTGTAGGTAAACTTCTTCTTTCCACTGTTGTTCTTTGGTTTCACTAATGAATAATTGTACACTGACTGTCTAGTAGAGTATCTGTGAGATGAGTGAACTGGTATAAGAGATTTGTAGATCTCCTTTGGCTCACCTGTGACAACAACCTTGAGAAATAACTTAAGAGTACTGCTATCTAGTCTGTTTCTCACTGACAACCAACCAAGATCTGAGTGCAGCGTAGCATTTGTCCCGGTCTCGTAAACGGTCGATGCCATTTGAAACGGTCGATGCCATTTCGCTGAATGGTCGATGCCATATCCGAGCGTACCATAACTTTTTTTTCAGGTCCAAAAACGAATAAAAAGTAATATACACTAAAAAAAGGAAATATTCGAATTGCAAATATAAGGGAGGGTCGTGTAGAATTGTAAATATTAGTGAAAAAACAAAAAGCACAAGCTTGGATTCGAACCCGGGTCCACAAGTATAGCTCTAAAACCAAACCTATACCCTAACCTCTACGCCACGAAACATCACGGTGTGGATAGACCGTGCTGATAGACTTGAAGTTAGCCGCTCTGCAAAATGGCATCGACCGTTTCAAAAGGTGACGACCATTTACGAGACGGAAATCAGCGACAGCGCAGTTTTTTTTCTCAATTCTGGATATACGGGACTTGTCTGTCTGCTTGTGTGTCAGTACGGTATTCTTTATATAGTATGATGCCAGATAGGGAAAGAGGGAGAGAGGGAGAGAGAGAGAGAGAGAGGAGGAGAGAAGAAAGAAAGGAGTTAGAGATAGAGCGAGAGAGAGAGAAAGAGAGAGTTAGAGAGAGAGAGAGAGTTAGAGAGAAAGAGGGAGAGAGAGTTAGAGGGAGAGAGAGAGGGAGACAAAGAGAGAGAGAGAGTTAGAGAGAGAGAGAAAGAGAGAGAATAGGGAGAGAGGGGGGAAGAGATTGCAGTCCTAGAACGATAGAATTGGTCGAACTGGAGGTCGAAATTTGGGGATGGGAGGCCAGAAGGAAGTGAATTTGGGTTTCCTGATTTTGCAGGGCATCAAAAGGTAAGTATGTGTGGTCTTGTCCAGTTACAAGTCACTATGTTTTTTGGTAGATTGCAGTAAAATCTGACTACAGAGTATTCTCTGCTATTCTGGCTATGGAACATAATAGAGAATGTGAAATTGTACCCACGTTTTGAATAAGTGTTTTGTGATTATGTAGTAATGTGGTATGACTGTATGTTTTAGTGTTTTTTACATTATGAAAGCTCGGGTTTCTTTCGACATCACGATGAGAGCATTCACAAATAATGAAATGCATTTAGATTTTAGAGTTAAAACTTTAGATCCAACACAAAAATTCTCTCACCTAGAGCTTTCGACCAGTCACTCTGGTCTTCCTCAGTAGACTGACCCAGTGAGGCTTGTCACGTGGCTTCTTTGACGTGTGACGTCAACACTGGGTCAAAGGTATCTTGTAGACGATGTCGGCCCCCGTCGCGGTTCATCTCTAGGTGAGAGAATTTTTGTGTTGGATCTAAAGTTTCTAAAAATGTAACTACCAACACAGATGAACTTTCATGATAGTACAAATGAAATGTGTTTTATTATATTTACCAATTTCCTCGTCTCCAAACACTAACCTCTGACCTCGCCAATGACATGATTTGTTGACGTCTGTCACCATGGTGACTGGTGTTGGGTTACATAATGTTGCAAACTTCATGGTCTGCTCTGCTCCTGTCACCGTAGTCTAGTAGTACATGTATGTGAATATGTTTGAGTAAAAATTAACAGGGCAGACCATGTCCGAAGGTAAACATTATAAATGCATTTGCTTTGCAAATGTTACTTCTCTAGTTTTCCATTGAATACAGTGTGCAATAGTAACAGCTAGTGTATCTACCGAATCGTTCTGTCAGGGAAGCAGATGCCGCGGAGGAAGATCCAGCAGGCGGACTTCAAGGCGCTGCAGAACGAGCATTTCATGCCGCAGGACAAGGACTTCCTCATCGCCGAGGCGCGCGCCCTGCAGTCCTTCAAACATCGGACAGGGTGCGTTGTTAGAGACGGCTGGACGGAGACGCCGACCCTGGATAGCACGGGCATCTTTTCCTCCATGCAAACGTTGAGGTACGTACATATCCAGGGGTGACGAGTATACAGTGCAATTGTAAGGAATACGGTGCAATTTTACGGAGTACAGTGCAATTTTACGGAATACAGTGCAATTTTACGGAATACCGTGCAATTTTACGGAATACCGTGCAATTTTGCGGAATACGGTGCAATTTTACGGAATACAGTGCAATTTTACGGAATGCAGTGCAATTTTACGGAATACAGTGCAATTTTACGGAATACAGTGCAATTTTACGGAATACGATGCAATTTTACGGAATACGGTGCAATTTTACGGAATACAGTAAATCGTATTAGTATACACTTCAATTTTTCGGAATACAGTGCAATCGTATCAGTATACAGTATTCCGTACAATTGCACTGCTTTCCGTAAAATTGCAATGTCTACCTATACCATTGTACTGCATTTCGTAAAACTGCACTGTATACAAGTAAAATTGCACTGTATTCCGTAAAATTGCACTGTAAACTCTAGCACCCCTGATACCCTTCTCATATCGTGCGGGGCATAAAGATGTAATGAGCTAGATTTCAATCTACTGGGGGTCTGTCTTCAACCGAGAACTGAGCTGTATCCCATGTAGTCCCCGGTGACCCGAGAACAGGTGGTTTAGGGTTCGGTTTGGGCCATAAAACACTGAACCTCTTGTCAAGACCGTCATAAACGTTAATTTGATTTGACCAAATTGTTTATTGATGACCAACAAAATACACTAGGTTCATAATCATATTCAACCCCAAGCGAAATACATGAGTGTTTCCAAAGAAACTAATCTTGTGACATAATGACACAAATGTGTTGAAAAGTGATAGTAACTGTTGATAACGCCAAAATTTAGTATAATTATGTTTACCGAAGGAAAACATATTGTTTTTGCTCCATTTCTTCTTCTTCTGTTCCAAACACTAACCTCTGACCTGGCCAATGGCCCCTTTTTTGACGTCTGTCACCATAGTAACTGGTGTTGGGTTACATAATGTTGCAATTTCATAGACTCCTGTCACCATATACATGTATGTAAATGTGTTTGAGTAAGAATTAACAGAGCAGACCATATCCGAAGGTAAACATGCAAATGCAAATGTTACTTTTCTAGTTAGAAGATTTAAAATTTTCGCGTAAAAATTTACATAATGGGCCTTTAAGAGACATATTCTATTCTTTTTTACCTTCAGAGTGGAGTGCACGGGAGAAGGTATATTCAAGACGACCATCCCAGACAAGGCCGGGCGGTGGACCATCCACGCCGTCGCCTTACACCCGGAAATGGGGCTCGGCATCGCTGACCCCGTGGAGTTTATGACCCGGAAAAACTTCTCCATCGACCTGCATGCACCAATCAGCGTTACCGGTGGGGAGGAGGTGGTGGTGACCGCGAGTGTGTGCAACCACGTGGATGACCCGATGACGGTACGCTTACAATTCCCATTAGGCCATGTTGATTTGATTACATGGATTTTTTCAACCTTTATTTCACCTTGAAAATGTACAGTACAATTGTGTAGCAGTGCAACTCTTCGGCCTAAGCCGTTTTTCAAGAGGTCAAGGGGAGGTAGATCAGGGGTCTTCGCAAATTCTTCCGTTCAGTTACAATCAGTCGTACAATTACAATATAAATATATACAAAGTATACAAAAACCAAACACTATCTCGGTTCGTATATAACTCATCAGTATCAAGCATCCATTTGGCAAATTTCAGTTCACAAATTTAGTCATTCTAATTTCTAACTTGTGACTTGACGCAGCCGATTTTTAAGATGGATGACATCCGCGTGCGCATAAATTTTCGGCCGTTAACGTTTCCAAAAAAGAGGAAAAGTTTTCAACCATGCCGTAAATGCGGTACAAAAAAGTTGCAAAATGAGCAAAAATATACCGTAAGTTGCCCCCAAAAATTTTTTTAAACGATACCAATGTCGTAGAATGCCAAAATCAAACAAAAAAGACGAAAATGTAAAGAAATGAATTTAAAGGGTAAACGATACTCTGTGCCCTTTGTTCAACCTTCATGACCACATAGATTTCATAATGAAAGCAACTTTTTTATTTTGCAAAACTTTTTTTCATTCGCACGCGCGCATCAGTTTTGGGGCTCCCAGAGGAAGTCATCCATATAATCAGATCAACATGGCCTTACTTCCATGAACAAGAATTCGGAGATATCATACCTACACGGAAATATTCTGAGCCATTGTATTTTTTATTTCATTCCATACAATAAGTATGGATTGAAACAGTTATTGTATATTTTATTATATCATAGTCAATCTCCACTTGTGTACTTGGACTGTAATTTAGTTGCTGCTACCTAATTTTCCTTGTTGTTGTTGGTTTTCAGGTGATGGTGAGTTTAGCAGAGCCCGAGTCCCTGACGTTCCTGTCCCCGGACCTGTTTAAGTCCTACCCGCTTCACATCCCGCCACATGGGAAGGCCAACTACTCATTCGTTGTAAACTTCCTCTCCACCGCCAGGGGGCGCAAGCGAGTGGACGTGCTGGCCACGCACAGGACTCACGCCGAGAGGATGTCAACTGAGGTTGACGTAGTGGTGAGAGCACGCTTTGAACTAGAAAGGCCAACATTTGCTTTGGAGCAAATTCAGCATGACTTCACCACATTTCACGACATGGCAGAGAAAGGAGGAGAAATACAAGGGAAAACAATTCTTTACATTGATATAACTATAGTATGAAGTGGCAACATTTGGAAAGCTATCTCCTACATTATTGGTTGGGATTTTTGATTGCATAATGCAAACTGTTGATTTTCAAGATAAAAAGAAGTGTTTATGCCCCACATTCCAATGCTGCAGCAGGAAAGCTTGACAAACCAGTTCATACTGTCAATATGGCATGGCTTTGTACAGGTGTTAATTGAGTTAACCCAATCAGATCCGAACAGCCAATCAGCAAGGAGAATAGAGGAAAGCTGCATGCCTATTGGTTGCCTGCTCTACATGCCATTCTGATGACTCATGCCCAAATGTGGTAACACACTGCTATAGGACATTTTCTATAACACAGCCAAAAAGCTCAAATAAAACCATTTTAAAAGCATGTATCACAAAAATGAAAAAAAGGGTATTTGCCCTCTCTACCTTCATGCCAAATTTCATGTTATTTGGCCCAGAAATGGAGGAGTTGAATCAATTCAAAGAAATGGCAAGAGGAGAAGAAGAAACGTGAGCAAAAACAATATTTCTTTATTCTTTATTTCAGGCGCAAATAGGCCCATAGTAGACAAACAATTAAAATAACAAGGTGCACACATAATAAAAACGGTAGGGTTCGGTACATATACATACGAGAAGGGCCTTACCGGTAGACTAGGCCGATATAGTGATCCCAGTAGTGACTGGTGGATGATAAGTCTGAGTGGATTGCGAGTTTTATGATACTGTTATTACTGTTGAGGAGCCGATTGGTGAAAGAGTGTGTTAGTTTACGTCTGCGAGCATCGAAGGTATCGACAACCTCAGTCACAAACATTCGACTGGCGCTCTCGAATTTTCCATATGAAAACAATATTCTAAAGGCGTTGTTATAAGCCGTTCGGAGTTTGCGAATAGCGCCCAGAGTGTAGCGTGTCCACAACTGGGCGCAATACATAGAGGAACAGTATGCGTTGAAAAGCGTGCGCTTCACTTCTGTAGAGGCAAACTTAAATTTACGAACTAAGGAATTGGCTCTGGTGTAGAAGCCTCTGATGTGAGTACGGATTGACTCGTCATCAGACAGGTTGGTAGTAATCTGGTTGCCCAGGTAGTTCACAGAAGAAACATACTGTAGGTTAGTTCCATAAAGCCTTTACTGAAGGGGGCGCACAGTTCAACCGAGTCTGTCACATGGAAAGTACATACAATGGCTCTTCTTTTCGCTGAAGAGAATATCGTTGCGATCACCAAAGCTTTCACAAATCGAAATAAGTTTTTGCAGTCCTTTAACAGAAGGACAAATAATACATATGTCGTCTGCATACAAAAAATGGTTCACAATAGTACTGCCAATATAGCAGCCAACACCGCTCGAGTTCAGCTCAACACTAAGGTCAGAAATGTAAACATTAAAGAGAAAGGGAGACAGTAGGCTACCCTGTGGCACACCGTTACTTATAGTAAAAATTGTCAGAAAGGGAGCTGCCCCAACGCACCCTAAAAGTCAGAGTATTATACCAGACTACGAGTAGCCGGACTATGTACAATGGAACGTGCCTATCAATTAGTTTTTTAAAGAGTGACCAATGATTGACACGGTCAAACGCTTTTGCGGCGTCGAGAAAGCATACAAACACGGGGGAGCCACGGCTCTGATAGTAACTGATTACCTCCTTCAACGCAAACACACACATGTCAGTGCCATGATGTTTCTTGAAGCCGAACTGGTTATCCGGACTATGACTTCACCAGTGGTGAAGTCACAATAAAACATGTGATTTTCGGTGTTGTCGCTAGATGGAAGAAATGACTACATAAGACGCCATTCACGAGTTTCCCATCCCCAGGATGCATTGCATAATGCATCCTGGGGATGCAAAAACAGGGATCTAAACCTCAATTGCATAGGACAGGAAGGCACCGGAATGATCCTGGTGACGTTTCCCAGTGTGTTTTGAGGTGTTAGGGCATTTTATGCTCAACATTAATTAAATTACTATGGGTCGAATCTAACAACAAATAGAGAATAGAAGTTTTTGTGTTCTTTTCAACATATGGAACATGTGGTTTGTAACGTTACATCATCAGTATAGCGTTACCACTATAACGTTACAAACCACATATTCCAAAAAATTCATTCTCTATTTCTTGTCAGATTTGACCCATAGTAATTTAATTAATATTGAGCATAAAATGCCCCAACACCTGAAAACGCACTGAAAAACAAGCTGTTTAACGTCAACAGGATCATTCCGATGCCTTCCTGCCCTATGCAAATGAGGTTTAGACCCCTGTTTTCGCAATGCATCCTGGGGATGGGAAACTCTTAAACTCTGATTTTTGAATGTCGTACACTTGATATGCGACTTTTTAGTACCACTGAAGCAGGGAGATATCGCAGTGGATGTAAGGGAACAAGATCCTGAAAAATGCCTTCCCTTACCTCGTTAATAAAATTGTCTTTGATGCTTTGTTTCAGCCTGCTGGAATCACCATGGGAACAACCCGGTCTGTCGTCCTCTGCCCAAGTGGTAAGACATGCATCTGTTTTTGTTTCTTTTATTGTTTTGCCAAACACAGAAAATATTTGTAGATTACAGGGATTTACAGGGAAAAAGCCGTTATCATATAACATTAAACGGCTTTTTTCCTTGTGAATCCCTGTAATCTACAAATATTTTCTGTGTTTGGCAAAATCAGTTATTCCTATGTAGAAAGCAAATATGTTTTCTGTTATAACATTAGGCCATGTTGATTTGATTATATGGATGACTTCCTCTGGGAACCCCGAAACTGATGCGAGCGTGCGAAAAGAAAAAAAAAGTTGCTTTCATTATGAAATCTACGTGGTCAAGAAGGTTGAACAAATGGCACAGAATATATGGTTTGGGGAATAATCTACTCTTCAAATTCATTTCTTTACATATTCGTCTTTTTTCGTTTGATTTTGGCATTCTACAACATTGGTATGGCTCATAATTTTTTTTTTCAACTTACGCATATTTTTGATCATTTTGCAACTGTTTTGTACCGTTACAGTATGGTTGAAAACTTCTCTTTTTTTTGGAAACGGCCGAAAGTTCATGCGCGCGCGGATGTCATCCATATAATCAAATTAACATGGCCTTATGATGAGTATAACGACTGGGTCCCCTTCTGTCCGCCCAGCTGACAAGCCAGTGAGCAGAACGCTGGAACTACTGCTGCCTCCTGACCGCGGGAACGAGGAGATCATCCTAACCTCCGTCGGTACGTACCCAGGCTAGAGCCTCCTTCTGCTTGGTGTAACGGCAGAGTTCTCGACTGGGAACCAAGAGGTCCCGGGTTCGAGGCCTGACATGCCATCGATCTTGTGCCCTTTGGAAAGGCACTTTACACGAGTATGAGTATTGTCTTGTCCCCTGTGTTGGCATTAATATAAGTTGAACAAAAATTGAGTGTGTCCCTACCACGTCTTGTGATTACATGTTGGAATAGAAACAAAGATCAGGACGACTCGAACCATTACCAACTCGGGCCATCGATATCGCAAATCTGTAAATCTCCAAGCAGATCCCTCTCGGTGGCAAAAAGACAGTATCAAATTGGCCAGGCAGTATCCATTAGCCAGAGAAGGTCCGCGGCCACCGACGGTGGGGGTCAGGACAAAAAAAATCGGCCATATATAAAAATGTAACGATTATTCCCCCACAACCTCTGCTTGGAGAGTAGCAAATCTGGTCATCTCGGCTCAATGCCCTGATCAACTCGGCCCAACCACCGAATTTACACAAAATGTATTGGACCGAGCTAACCAGGGAGATGGGCCGATCTGGGCCGAGTTGGTAAAGGTCCAAATGGTCCGACACTCCTTTTGCTTAGGGTACATGTTCCCTATGTCAAGCCAAATATATGATGCTGCCAAATACATGACTTCTTCACAACAAAACATGATGAACAGATACAGGTAAAACTAACTACCACCAGATACATCTAACTTCACCTCGCTTTTGAATTATAGTAGAGATAAAGGATTATGTTTTTCGATGGAAGCTTGTCTAGTTGCATTAGGAATTTGAACTTGTCTACAGCGTTAAGTGTATGAAGTAGAGAAATATGTTTGTATAAACCTACATATACACAGTTTATTTGCCTCTTTACTATACAATTTATATATTACAAAAGTACCTTCTGACCCTATTGACCTATCAGTATATAGTAGAGGGGATTTATTCCTCAAGCTAACCGACATCTCGCACACGCAGCCGACCCTCAGTAAGACATCTGGAGCCGCATAGTTCCCGTTTAGAACTTTTATTCAGCCTGTCTCCGGCTCCAGATGTCTCACTGAGGGACGACTGCGTGTGCGAGATGTCGGTAGCTTGAGGAATGAATCCCCTCTTCTATATACTCCAATGGCCTATCAGGTTATCTGGTCGGCTCGGCGCTGAATCACATGGAGGAGTTCGTGCGACTGCCGGCAGACCACGGTGAGGTCCTGGCCGTCAGACTGTTCTCGGTCTCCACCGTGCTGTCCTACCTCCTGGACACGGGGCAGGTCAGCAGGCAGACCGAGGCCCGGGCTGTGGAGTACCTGGCACAAGGTACCTCAATGCATTCTGCATAACATTGATGGAATAATTTGCCCTTCCATGAAATTAAATTGCTGATCTGAATTTCTGTGGGTAATGTCCAGTTTTGTTCTTTTCTAGTTGTTACCTCCGTGAAAAATGGAGGTATTGTTCTTGGCGTGCCTGTGTGTCTGTCTGTGTGTTTGTGTTTCCGCACATTTGCGGCCAGCATAACTTTTGAACCTACAGATGGATTGTAATGATATTTGGTATGTGGTTAGGTAAAGGTCAAGGTCGATTTTGGGCCTCCTGGTGGCTGACCTTGGTACTGAAGCAGAACTTCCAGTTTTTGTATCTTTTGTCCTGGACATGCTATGATTTTGACTTTTGAATTTCATACTTGGGACATGTGTAAGTTAATCAAAAGTTAACATCACGATGAATATATTATGTTCATGTAGATGTCATTTGCATAATTAAGGAAGAACTTTACCTTAACATATCAAACCCATATTTCATGGAGGTATGAAATCTCGGAACTCTTGTTGTATATGAATCCAGGGTAGTTTTTAACTTCCGATAAGTGATAAGTAGACGTTAGGCCTAAGGAAAAATTTTAAACAGTGTCCGAACAAAACCTTTAGTTCAAGAAAACAGGTATTTAATAATACTTAAACTTTATTGCATGTTCATTCCCCGGGGGGATAAATGCACGGATATACAAAGTACAATGTACTAGAGAGTACTACAGCAATAGTAATAAAGAAAGGCTTACATAAGGTCTAAGGTGTACAATGCTAAAAAAGAAATATATATAAAGTGGTATAGATTTAAGTTATAATGGCTTCTTCTCTCTTTTTGAAACATTTTGAAATATACTTACATACTTCATTGATGACGTCTATATTTGTACATGATATTTAAAAGTGTCTTCCTTTGATAATGTTTTACATTTTTTGTCGAGCTTGATTGAACTGAACAGTGAATTAATACATACACAGAACTAGACGTGTCAGATAGATAAACCATAAATCATCTATCCGTGAACAGTTCCATCAGGTTGGTAAGACACTGAGTGAGGAGACTCTTTTTACACAACCAAGTCTTTTCTTCAGCCGACGTTTTGGTAAATACTGTACTTTTGGGAATGCATCTGTAGCAGCTACACCTGTGCTGCAATGCAATGTGAACCAGTCAGAATTGCCCTGAGGAAGGTGACAGACGGTCACCGAAACGTCGGCTGAAAAAAAGACTTGGTGGTGTAAAAAGAGTCTCTTTACTCTTAAATCATGTAGTATGATGGTTGTACATTGTAAAGTAAATCTAGCAGAAGCTCAACAGCTGAGAAAGTTTTATTTCTTAATGGTAGGTTATCAGGAGCTAATGCGGTACCGGCAGATGTCAGGAGCCTTCAGTATCATGGCGAAAAGTACAGGGAAGGAAGATCTTAGGTGAGTGGCCGTCTATTCAACATCATCTTCATTTTGCATTTAATACACATTTAGAACACTAAATGAAGGGAACAACAGAAATCTAAGGCGAAATATTAGGAAGGATAAACAAAAAAAATGCTGTCCATCAAAATGTGTGCAAGATGTTCGCAAATAAAATGCTGTGCTATTTCTATTGCACATGCTTTTTGAAGTTTAGTACTATGTATATGTAAGTGCATATTAATAAATGGGCTTGGATATGAAGGTACGTGTGTGTGTTTTTGTGAACAGAAATCCTGAAAGAGATGTCCTTGTTTTTCCTATTTTTGCATAGTATTACGTTTCAACGATGAGAACTAACCGTCGCATCTTCTAGACATAGATGGGTGGACATAGATTAGGAAACAAAGAGGACTTAACATTCTTCATATTTCAAACTTCAAAATGATTTCAAAAATCCAATATTACCTTTGCAGGCTAACAGCGTTCGTCATACGCACCCTGTCCGTCATGCAACGCTTCGTTCCGTTAGACTCCCGTGTGATCGCCCAGGCCGCCAAGTGGCTGCTGGGAAGGCAGAAAGACGATGGGTCCCTCTCGGACGCCGGCAGTGCCTTCAACAGACGTCTGGAGGTAAGGCCATGTTGATCTGGTTATATGGATGACATCCACTGGGAACCCCAAAACTGATGCGAGCTGGCAAAAAAAAGGTTGCTTTCATCATGAAATCTACGTTATCAAGAATCTCGAGTTTGTCAAGCGAATCTCGAGTTTCTGGACAAACTTGAAACAGTTACACACAACATGTTTTTTTCTGCCAACATGAAAAACAGAATGTATAATTAAGTTATGATAGAAGACAGGTTTGGCCATGTGCTTTAGGCCATGTTGATTTGATTATATAGAGGACATACTCTGGGTACCCCAAAACTGATGCGAGCGTGCGAATAAAAAGTATGGTTAAAAAAAGTTGCTTTCATTATGAAATCTACGTGGTTTTGAAGGTTAAACAAATGACACAGAGTATGGTATGGCGAATAATCTACTCTCCAAGTCCATTTCTTTACATTTTCGTCTTTATCGTTTGATTTTGGCATTCTACGACATTGGAATCGTTTTCCAATATTTCTTTGCAACCTGCGATTTGCAAGTGATTGTGGTAATGAGCATACGTATTTTTCGCCATTTTGACTAGTTTGTCAATGTGTTGTATAAAAGCAGGTGTGTCGAGTCATACGACAATAATTCACAAATGCGAATTTAACATAGCTACAAATCATTGTTCGCATCATCCTTGTTGAGGTGCTGTGCAGGAGTACCCTCTAGCGGTTCCCGTTGGTACGACACCTTGCTAAGTACATGTACTAGTATCTGTTTTTATTGCAGAGTCCAGATGCTGAGCGCGTGGTCCCTACAGCACTAGTGGTCATCGCTTTGCTCGAGGCAAATCTTCGGGTACAGGTAAGTCCTCTGGCCTCCAAGTTAGACCCCCTTTCCCATAGACGAAATGTTGCCTCTCTATCCCTCTTTTACAGATATTTTCATGGTCATTGCTCTGCAGAACTCACCCAACTAGTTCCACCACTCAGAACTTTTACGCGCTCCACTAGGTTCTCCACTAGCTCACACAACTCCACCGTCTAAGTTCCCTGTTCGAAATCTTTTTACAGTGATAGTTTATTTCCCCGTACGGCCAAGCTTTGGAATTCCCTCCCTGACAAGTGTTTCCCACCAACCTACAGGCTTTCAAATTAAACGTTCACCACCATCTCTTGACATAGCCATGTTTCTCTCATATTTCTAGTTCAATGCCGAGAAGTGGTTGCATACGCCTTGCATTGAACCACTCCGTTAAAAAAAGTTACAGCAAGACGCTTCAGGTTTTACTGGAGCTATTGTGGCAAAAAGCCACGTACTTTTCTAACAGCCCGCTGCAAAATGTAATTAATGTTTTCAGTAGCGTTTGTGTGTGTGTGTGTGTGTGTGTGTGTGTGTGTGTGTGTGTGTGTGTGTGTGTTTGTGTAAACTCCAGTTTAACATGACTCACATGTGTAAATTCAAATGAACTAGACATGAGTTCAAATCAACAACTTCGCTATCATCGCGGTCATCAGAGATCATTGGACAGACAATAATTCTGGAACTGCACCTTCTCACATACTCTGATGATGTCCATTTGTCACGTACATGTATTCTCATGCATAAGTTCTCGTCATTCAAATCGTAAATCCGGCTAGCTGCCTCATGGCGTTAGATATCCTTCTTAAAGCTGCATTATGTAACTTAAGGACAAAAATCAAATTTTTGGTCATTTCACTGCGAAAATGTGTCATTGAGGACGTGCTATAAAGTGTCGGTGCCAAAGTATGACACCTATCGAGTGTGTTTAAAAGCTGGAAACACAGCTGTCAGCCGTGTTTGTTTACATTCTGGTATTTTGTGGTGGTGGCACTATATGAGAGTACCACGTTTGGGATGTTTCAGCGGCAACCATAAATGTCAGAAATAAATAATTGCACAAATATGTTTAAAAGTACATCTACATGTAACCATTGCCGTTACATTAAGATTTTTTCAATTGAAATATTTACATTTTGGTGCAAAATGTTACATAATGCCTCTTTAATAAAAGTAGTGAAAATCGAAGCTCGGTGTCAAGGCCCTAACGTGAGCGACGCGGAAATGGAGTCACCTCGCGGCGGGGGACGTCATCTGGACCCGCTTGAAACCTGCCGGGGTACGGTAACTGGAAACACCTTCGGGGTTGGACCCGATGCGCTGACGGCACGTTTACCACTCTTGGAAGAGCACCAGGAAGACGCCAGGGAGAAATATTTCTCTTGTCGGGACCCTTGAAGATGTGCCAAGGATAACTTTCTATGGCTTTGACGGTTAGCTGGTGTACATTCGGTCTTTTTTTTTTCTGTCATCGGAATGCCTGTCTCAGACCATGTATCTTCCATTCAACTTTGACCAATCAGAGTTGCAACATTGCCTATTGCATGTAGCCGCCACCAGGCCTTTCTATGGGAATTCGGCAAAAAAAAGAGAGTAAAATTTGCCAAGGGGAGTCCTGCCGCGGGGAGGTAGTTTCTTTCCCTCTGCGACCAGTCAAACTTACAAGGCGGCCAAACTCCCTGGCAAATATTCTTTATATAGCCAGCGTAGTTAGTCTCCCAGACTATATTGCATGCAACATTGCCTAAAAAGATTGTAACATCTTTGGAAAACTTTGTATCAAATAATAATACTATGCCTTGATTCGAAGTAAACAACTAAACTAAATTTGCCTCGACACGCCAAAAAAGCATTTAAGATGGATTTACGTCATATATTACGTCTAGGAATTTACGTCATATGTTACTGTAAATCAGGCTATTGTAGGTCCTATAAGTGTGTCGTCTGGTCTATCACTGAGATTTTGGTCTTTTGATTGCCAGCTTAAAATTAAGTGCCAACTATAGGAACCGAAACGTATATTATCTGTCTAAGTACATCATCTTTTTTTTAAATTTTATCCATTAATTAAGATTTAAAGAATGAGATCTTAGAAGTGCCGGCAACAAGATCAGTATATTCTTTACAAGGCCGACATAATTATGAAAGTATACGAACCATAACTAATCTGCTTTAGATTTTGGAAGAATTTGCTGAAACAATATATGTCATTGCATTGTATTCAGATTTCGGAGACTACCTACATAAACAATGTCATGCAATTAATACTAAAATTGAACGCTGTCAGAAAAATTTATATTTTAATGACATTTTGCTGTCCCACTACTGGCATCTACAAGCTTACAACCGAATGGTGTATTTAAACCATTGAAACTATAAACACTTGAGGCAGCTGGCCACATCACGCCGGCTTTACTGTATCAATCAACATCACTACAGTAACCACACAGACACTGACAACTACAATGTATTACACAGTGGTACATGAAGTGTTGTTGGTCATGTTATCAGTTTGTTAAAACCGTACTGACAGATTCCTTTGGCCTTTAGGCAATACATGTCTTCCTATATCATAATAAAGCCAAGCCAAGAAGAAGAATATCATGATAATCATTGCAGATAAAAGAGAATAAATCATGCCCGTGAATTACGCAAACGAGTGTCGATTTCGTTCGGTACAGTATATCTTTTGCCTATGCATGTAAATAGTACATTTGCACCACCAACGTCAAAGGTTGCTCTATATCTTCAAATGAACATGAATATCACGCTTAGGCCACAGCAAGTAAATGTTATGGATGACATCCTCCGCAGACTCCAACCCTAATGCGAGCGGGCGAAAAAAAAAACAAGGCGGCCGAAAAATACAAGGTTCCTACATTTTAAAATTTTGACTCAATCATTGTACAAATGGTTTTGATTCAGTGGGAACATCACATACACACAGCCAACATCACATATCACTGCATCAAAGATCAAAGTAAGAAACAAAACATTAAATCAGAGTCTTTTCTTGTCTCCTCTCTTCATAGTTATCTGCCATCCACCTTCCGGCATGGCAACAGTCATCTTGGCCCGTTTTAGGCATATTGACCACAAAAGGCAACAAAATTTCTTTTTTTTTTCTTCAAAATCATGCAAAAATTAATGCGCGCCCTTATGTCATCCATAAAAACTACTTGCTGTGGCCTTACACCCATTACGAGGGAACTTTTGTCATTCTAACACTGTCTTATACTGAGTGAGGGAAGCATGTATGTACCCTATCAGGCTTGTGGGTGTCAGACATCGATGTAGTGTTTGTTATAATTGGGGTTAATGAAACAGCAGCTGGCAGTCCCGGGTGGCACATTGTTTCCGAGGTGACGATAACGGTAGTTTTCCCGTTTGCACGCAACGTTATGTAACGGTACTCTCCAAGCAGAGGTTTGGGTTTGGGGTTATTTTTGGCGTCTTTTAGGCTTTGTCATTGGGGTTTCTCTTTTGCACTGGATGGGTTGGATGAAAAAAAATTCCAGTGCAAAAGAGAAACCCCGATAAAAAGCCTAAAAACAAACCAAAAATAACCCAAAATCCAAACGTCTGCACGCAACGTTATGTAACGGCTGGTCTCTTTAGGGTTCAGCATTCACGAGTTACTCATCCCCAGAATGCATTGCGAAAGCAGGGGTCTAAACCACATTTGCATAGGACAGGAAGGCATCGGAATGATCCTGTTGACGTTAAACACCTTGTTTTTCAGTGTGTTTTGAGATGTTGGGGGCATTTTATGCTCAACATTTTATTAAATTAAATTACTATGGGTCGAATCTGACAAGAAATAGAGAATGAAGTTTTTGTGTTCTTTTCAACATGTACATGGAACATGTGGTTTGTAACGTTACAGCATCAGTATAGCGTTGCCACTATAACGTAACAAACCACATTTTCAAAAAAATAATTCTCTATTTGTTGTCAGATTCAACCCATAGTAATTTAATCAACGTTGAGCATAACATGTCCCAACACCTCAAAACACACTGAAAAACAAGCTGTCAACAGGATCATTCCGATGCCTTCCTGTATCATTATCTATATTCCATCCTTCTTTTGTGACCTGTACTTAACCCAGTGGGTATGTGTGTACAATAAAGGTCATTCATTCATTCATTCATTCATTCATTCATTCATTCATTCATTCATTCATTCATTCATTCATTCATTCATTCATTCATTCTCTCTCTCCGACTTCTTCCTTCCTCCAATGCAGTACGAGTCTGCGGTGTCCTTGGGCCTGGCGTACCTGAGCGGCGCGGAGCTGGACCAGCCTTACCCGGCCGCACTGACGGCGTACGCGCTCGGGCTGGCCGGGCACCCGTCCTCCGTCCTGGCCCTCAAACGGCTCGGCAGTCACAGCATCAAGGAAGGTCACTACGATCTACTAGACTAGTTATTTTTCATATGTTCTCCATTTAGCCTTATTACTGTTATCATCATTATTATTATTATTATTATCATTATGCTTTCAATTGAAATGGGAGAGGACTAGAATAAGCCCTAAGGCTTTTTTCTCCCTAGCACATCCAGTTTATATAATTAGGTTAATTATTTATATAATTAGGTTGATTATTCTATATTCTGTTTCGTTCGATTAGTATATTCACTTACTGTATTGTTTTTGTTTTATGTATGTGCAAATAAATGCCAACAAACACCTACAAGTTTTTAACCATTGCCTGTAAGCTGTTAGGGCTTATTATTTACATTACCAACTTTGACAAATACTTCAATTTTGCTGCCATTTAAGTCTTTGCTGACACTTTTTGACATGATGTATATGATACGTTGCTGACTATGTAGTGTGACGACTCAAAATGGATTGAGCATGTTGCTATTTTGGACAGTATTAATGGTGTCACATTACCTCATCGGCGGCCGATCCGGATCGACAAGTTTCACTGTGAACGGGGTCTAAGTGTTGGGGTCTATTCGTAGTTTATTAGTATCTTATCTAATGCAAGGAATCAATTAAACCGTTTGTTTTAATGTAACATTTGGTTACCTGTCGCGTGAGCTTGTCAAGACATCAGGTCTCCATTTTCTGAACCCCTGCAGATGACACTGTCCACTGGGAGAGCGACATCTCGGACCTGCCCATACCGGCCGGGAGGGGATGCTCCTCCCCTGCCAGGAGTGCCGCGAATGTGGAGACTACAGCCTTCGCTGTCTTGGCTCATGCCATCCACCCGGAAACGGAAGCGACGTCACAGGCAGCTGTTCGCTGGTTGGCTACTCAGATGAGTGGATACGGTGGCTTCAGTTCGACGCAGGTGCATAATACATGTATATATAACAATTATAATAACCACATTTCTGTCCATTGCCCCCCTCTTTGCAAGGATGATTATTTTAGTTCATACCGTGGAGTAAGGGAAGGCTCCATTTTAAACTCCGAAAAACTCGCCGTGGACAGAAGTTAATTTTAAATGTTCTACGTTTGCACAGGTGTGAGTTTGAGGGAGACGGACTGAAATATGTTGTATTTGCTCCCGAGCAAATGTCGGCCTTTCTAGTTTTGAAGCATATTTTACGATGAACATTAGCATTTGGTTACCCCAACGCAGGGGCGAGTCAAATAGCAGGGAGCTTACTCTTACAACTTTCATCAGTTCTACTGTCGTACATCTCGGTTTATTAGCACCAATTTCCATACTGTGTTAGGCTCCTGGACGCTTTAAAATATAAATAGCGAGCTAAGTATTTAGCTGTCTTTCGAGGTGATTTGAGCATTTGTTATAATACACTGCAGTTTAGCCCAAGGGCTGAAACGATGTGGTTCTTAGTCTGTTGTTTATCTTATAAACCAGTTCATCATCTTTATGAAATAAAGACTGAACTTTAACTTCCAACACTAGATATAGAATTGGGACTTACCCCAAATTTTCGGTTGACTCCATCAACCTTGTTCACGGAATGGACCCGTCTACTCTTGCAACGTGACGTCAGAGACACGTGACCGTAGTAGCGGGTCATACGGCAGTCTACATAAGAGCTCACAGACTTACCCTGAACAGAGACGGGGGGCGACACAAGTTATCTGGCACGTATGACCCGCTACTACGGTCACGTGTCTCTGACGTCACGTTCCAAGAGTAGACGGGTCCATTCCGTGAACTAAGGTTGATGGAGTCAACCGAAATTTTGGGGTAAGTCCCAATTCTATATCTAGTGTTGGAAGTTAACTAAAGTTCAGTCTTTATTTCATAATGATTTGTACCACACTTTCATGCTCAGTTCATCATTTTTTTTTTACTTTTTACAGGATACTGCAATAGCCTTACAGGCTCTGGCTGCCTATGGCCTACAGGACCGTAACTTCGTCCCGACTGACGTGAGGATCTTCGTGAGATCCACATCTCCCTTCCACCACCAGACCTTACAGTTCGGCGTCAGCAGCAGGGGACGGTCAGCCATCGTCAGCAAAGTGGTAACTTTTCAAAATCTACACAATTTTTGTGTGTGTGTGTGTCAGTGTGTGTGTAGTGAGTGTGTGTTGTGTGTGTGTGTGTGTGTGTGTGTGTGTGTGTGTGTGTGTGTGTGAGTGTGTGCAGGGGAGTGCGTGTT